GTAACAAGCTGTTACAAGCTTAAGCTAAATTGACTGTATCTTTTTTATGTAAATATACTCCCAAAGAAGATCCTCTTCACAAGCTTACAACTTACAACAGATTTGATTTCTTTGCATTTGCATAGGAAAAGTTATTTTTCTTCTCCCTTCCTTTGCCACTAGAGCAGAGTAACTGTAAAGAGGAAGCCTCAATTCTCAAGTTTTCATTTGAGCCGATGACATAAAGGGCCCATTACATTGAAATAAATGAGCAACATAGAAAGATGGGATTGGTCACCAAGTAGTAAAACAAAGAGAAGAACATGTTTACATTGTTTCTCTCTTTCTCTCCTCACTCCCGTTTCCTCACTTTCCTTGTTTGATTTCCACAGATTTTCATGGAGGATGCAGCTTTTATATCCCTTTCTTCATTTCTCTTCATGGGTGACGTTCAAATAAAGATCTCTGTGCAGGATACAAATACCCTTAAAAAGGACATATGCAATATGTCGGATACAACCAATTCCCATTGAGGTGAATATAATGAGACAGTAAACAGAGTGATAATAATACGACTACGGCTTCTGCTTTTTGTGTGTTCCGTCCCCTGTTGTGTATCCTGTCAATTTTAATCAATCACGGTCTTTGCCATGCCATCCTGGTCTACCTAAGGTAAATTCCAAGCTGGGGTTCTTGAGGTCATGGTTATTTCCTTTTGCCTGCACTCAAAATTATTTTCTTCATGAGAAATAATATGAAAATAATTGATTTATTCTCGATGCAACGATGTAATATCATTGTTGGAGTTTGAATCGCTACCTCAATGTGATGCCCATCTTTTTCCTGCAAAAGAAGGGCTGGGGATCTAATACTCTCGGCATCACTTGAAGTGGTATGTAACCAAGGTCCCCTACTGCAAAGTGCAAAATATGAATTGAATTCAATCAGCTTTCTTCGCATTAGAAATTCATGCCAAGGAAAGATTATACAATTGACCAATAGCAAAGTTTAGCTATCCTGTAGTTATTCATTCAATTTTTTTTTTTCAAATTGTAAATTCACTAAACCCATGCATGTGTTCTCTAATCGATTCAAAGAATTTCTCAAAAAAAAAAAAAAAAAGGTTTGTGACAAAGACCAAAACCAAAAAGAGAAAATCGAGAAAATCAGACAACACCATGTGATTTGAGAAAATCTCTAGATTGATCTTAATCTGAATGCAACTATAGTAAAACCTGTAACAACAAATGGTTGTAGAATTTGATATGGCAGTAAAAATATGGCAATAATTCCTCATGAAACCTCATGGGACGCAAAGAGCAACACAAGCAAGTTTAATTCCTTTCCCTAAAAATTAAAATAAAATGATGAATTATAGATGCCAAGTTTATCCTCAACCTGATACCAAAGAAATAATACTTTTGGCCTGAAAATTGCACTAGAAGACTTGATGGCCCTATAGATAAGGTCCAATCTTCTTATCTTTTACACCCTCCTCGTCCTTTGAACAATACTGGAACTTAGTGCAGCAGGTCCAATATGGGTATAGCAAGTAATAAGTATCTAGCAACATTAGGAGTTCCTCAATGGGGATGTATCGGGATGTGTTTTCTTCTTTCTCAGTCGACAAATCAGACTGATAATGCAGGCCGATCTTGTTCCCTCTATATATGAATGTTGGTTGAGTCGGGCATTGAGAAGAATCGCTTCACTTGCAACTGCACCCAAATATGACCCGACAAGCCAAACTAATTGAGTAACAGAGGTCTTGTTCTGCAGGTGTACTAAAAATATGGCCCTAGATCTGGTTTTCACAACATGAACTGATATACCCATTGCCAAGGGTGAAAGTATATGAGGGACAACAAGAAAGATTAAGGAAAGGAAGGTCATGATCCTTATTATTATCAGAGATGTTGTCAAATCTTAGCCAGCAAAATGGAATTGGCCAACATGCTGGTAAACATGATAAGAGGTGTGAGAGAGGAGGAATGAAAAAGGCCCGCAACGAGTTTGGTGCGGGCCAAAGCAAGGATTTAGAGGAGAAGAATAGATGGTGCATAGAGAATATGCTCTTTGGAGAAGGATAAATGTTTACAAGCATTGTAAGGCCCTTGAATAGCACATGGTCTCACACTTATAGGGGATGAGTTAGTTGGTTTGATTTAAACTTTAGAATCACTAATATGAGTGGCTTCTCACTTTGTATACAAGATTTTTTTTTAGGCTCTTTGGATTCATTTGGCTAGGGACTCTTTCTTAGAGGTGTTTTAGAGCTAGCATTTTGGATAGTTGTGCACAACTATTGGTTTTTCAAGCCAATTTGAAGGACCAAACTTTGATCAAGCCTTCACAACATAGATTTTACAAAACATGGATGTGGCACCTTTTTCAACCACCTAATCTATTCATATATCCCAAAGGAAACAATTTACCAAAATTTAGTCCCCCCTTATGGTGGACACCTATAACTTGGACAGATGTGTCAACCACTAGAAGAAAATATGATCAGGGCAATTTTTTTTTCTTTTCAAAATTATGAGCTGCCATAACAAATACACAAGTGTAATGATGTCATTAAAAGACTTACCCAAAAAAAATGATGTCATGAAAAGAAACTAAGATGGAATAATGGTACTTTAATAGCAAAAAATAAAATTAAAGGATTTCTACCCTAAAATAGTTTATCTCAAAGTTTATTTTTTTTCCTTTGTTCCATAGACAATATACATTTGTAATTTTGTTTACAATTTCATTAGATAGTTCAATGGACTTAAAGCAAATTATTCCAATCTTCATTTGTTATAGTCATCACATCCTATCTCTAGGCAAACTTTACAAGGAGAAAGAACTAAGCTGGAACGCTATTGAATTTAACTATGAAAAAAGTTTATATAAGTTGTCAATCTTATATTAGTGAAGTACACATCAAAATCCGTTGGAAGAAAGTGGAAAAGTATAAAATGGGACCATTTACTTTTGATACAAGATGGTCACAATTAGTTTTGACCATTGGATGTGAAATTTGGTGGCTGCATTTATTCTATTGACGAATTTCAAAGTCCAAAAGAAATTTTCTTGAACCTCATGACACACACAAGCTATCATATTTCACATCAGATGGTTGTAAGTAATTGTAACCTCCTTCTACCAAAGATAAATGGTCTCATTGACCTCAAGATATATGGATATGAAGAAAAACATAATTTTAAGTCCTAAAAACAATATAACTTGTAAAAAATAATTTGAGTCATCTATTTTTAAGATTTTCAAGTATTTACAGATCGAGCAGATCTGTACCATCTTTGAAGTTTTAAATTTTATAACTAGGGATAAAAATAATTTTTCACGCTAACTTAAGGTTTCTGACACTGGAAGTACACCTCCAGACAAAATTTAGAGGTACACCTTATTTCTATAATCTAAGGAAGCGCCTTAATCAAACCTCACCCTTTAAGTGTTGATGGAAGCCATCGAGTTGTGTAATATAGGCAAACATAATTCCACCACTATTAGTAGTTGGTGAGTAATCCAGTTGGGTAATATTTGATAAAACCATACAGTTTCCTCTAATGCCAAGGAAATTTAAAAATTATGAACTGGACGTAGCGAAGTGCAGTGCTTCTTTGGTTGATGACCAATAAATATGAATTAATGTTGTTCTCAAGTAAATTCAAATAAAAATTCAAATGCAAATTGTAAATGAGAATTGTTCCTATGAATCAAAACAGCAAGAGGTGAAACATAATATTTGTTCATTTGAAGCAAAACATATCTAGCTGTAAACAAAGAAGAAAAGAAGCAAAACATAATTAAAAAACCAAGTACTTAGATGGTAAGCATATCATCACCCAGCGGTGTGTACTGTAGTGGTGCTTCCATGGGCGGTTCCCAATAAAGAACGGTGGAGATTATACTTCCTAAAGACAGATATTCGTCCATCTACGGTTAATCTCCACCGTCCATTGTAGGAAATGAATTTTCATGGTGTATACCATATAAAACTAGGGTATGTTGTACTTCCCATGCTTATGATGAGAATATTGTAGCATCTATTCATACAAATGCTACATAATAAGAAATAAAGAGAGTGAGTTGAAGCTTTTGTAACACATGAAAGGGATCACTTTAAAGTATACTTACTTAGAGAGGATCATAAAAGTTCCTCATGAGATCTTAATGGAATGCAATGCAATTTATCATATATAGGTCATAAATAAACAAAAAAAAGGATATATACTAATGAGTCTACTAAATAAAATGAAGCTGTTCAAGGAATAGGTCATACATAAAAATCAATCATTTAAGAAAATCCTAAATCATTGTTTCGTTATCAGAGAGAGAGCGAGAGAGAGAATGTGCTTTTAGTAGAGAGAGAGAGAGAATGTGCTTTTGGTTCACAAGTCTGAACTTGGTCTACTTACCAAAGAGAATAGTACACAAGATGCACATGGTGATTGGATAACAATGCACGAGATCATAACTGGGAAAAGGGTACATTCTCAATAAGGAAAACAACAAAAACTGGATCGAGAAAAATATGAGTCAACTTACTAAAGAAATGGATCAATAAGGAGATAGAAAATGTGGGCCATTTTTTCATGAAAAAGAAGCACGATGCAGTCACAGGGCGCTGAAAATGGTTCACGAGAGAGAAGAATACAGCACAAGTCAGAGAGAGAGAGAGAGAGAGTTTTCAACATCAAAAGAAAGACAAAAGAAGGAAACAAATCAAGGAAAAGGTGGGGAGTGGAACATGGGTCAGGAGAGAGAAGAATAATATAGCAGCAGTCACAGATAAGTAGAAGAATCCCTCCACCATTAATCCTAGAGAGAGAAAGAGAGAGAGGGGTAGACAGAGAGAGGACTCAAGTACAAGAGCTTCATCTTTATGGAGGATTTTTTAAATCACCCATGCTCAAAAGAATAAGAACCCAAAGCTTCTAAGTTGCTTCGTGGTGGGTGCAATTGATTTTCTCTCTCTTCCTTTCTCTCTCTAACCCATCCAAGCACAATCTAGAGAGAGGAGTGAGATAAAAAGAAGGAAAAAGGAAAAAGAAGAGAGAGGCAAAAGCTGCTGAGGAAACTGTATGCTCTGCAGATATGGGAGAGAATATATAAGATTATGTTTGGAGAGGACGTGGTTCTGGATTCTCTACGCTTCCCATGCAAAAACATATTAAAAAGAAAAGAATAGAGAACAAGATAAAGAGGAGAGAGAGAGAGAGAGCTAGAGAGAGAAAGCCCTCTACTATAGAATGGAAGTTTGTCTAGAGAGAGAAAGTGAGAGTGCTCATGTCATTGAGTGGAAAATGATTAGGAATTGTTCATTTTAGAGAGAGAAACAAGAGAGAGAAAGTCTGCACATTGAGTGAAAAATGATCAAGTATAGCATATATCGAGGTAAAGGAAAGAGAGAGACTAAAAAGCAAAACAGGTGATTCAAAGGAGCACGTGGGGTGAGAAAGATAGTCTAGAGAGAGAAAGTGGAGGCTAAAAAATGGTCCTGAATAAAGGGTTCAAACATAGTGTAGAGAGAGAAAGGGGATTGCAGAGAATGGCGTACCTTGAAGAGTTACTCCACAACGAAGGAGCAGGAGGATGAGAATTATTAGTACTAGAGTAATCAACCTCTCCTTGAAAACCAAAAGCCCCCAAATTCCGGTCACTTCCGGCCAAATTTCCGGCAACAAAATCGTCTTCTCCGGCTGATCCACTATCAAATCCATCAGATTGACCTGAAAAAATTGCCGGAAAAAAGAAAGAAAACCCATGAATCCAAATTCTCTTTCTATTCTTTCAAAAAATCCGGCTAATGCATTGAGGTAAAGCTGCCATGAAAAAGCTGATTAAACAAAAAAACAAATTACCTGATGAGGCCGCAGGCTTGTCAGTGGTCTTAACAGTTCGATACATCTGCACCCACAGTTCGGAATAGAGATTAAGAGAGAGAAAGGAAAGGAAGTGAGAGAAACAAAGGCACTGGCATGTGCCTGAACTGTAACTATGTTCACAGACTGGTGGTTTAGAGAGAGAAACCCCGGGTATTTGGGTACTGTTTGTTATTAACCAATGTTTGGTGAGAGCAATAATGACTTGTATTATTGTGAAATGATGCTTCTTTTCTCATCAGGCCCTTTCTCTCTCTGAACCCCCCCCCTCTCTCTCTCTCTCTCTAAAAACGTGCAGCTATGCTGTCCCTTGTCCTGGAAATACCAGACTCATTCATTCATTCACTCAAACCCTTCTCATCCATTTCAATCTTCCCATCGGCAAGCGGGCCAATTCAAGAGAGAGAAAGAAGAGAGAGAGAGAGTTTTGTATACATATATGGGCAATTTTACTTCCCCCATTTTAGGATTTACCTGTAAATGGCTCTTTACATGAGCAAGTGTAAGATCTTTCACATCCATGAGCTCCAGCACCGATTTTGGAGTAGCTCCTGTACACACACCACGTACAAGCAACCCCACATTCTAATCAATCTCACAGTAAAAAAAAATCAAAACTATACAAAGGAGAGAGAGAGAGAGAGAGGAGAGAGAGTGAGACGTCCTATTAGTAGAAAACGAAAAACCAGAAGGAAGGAGAGAGAGAA